GAGGAACGCCAGTCATTTGATTAGCACTGTCAAATGTCAGTATAAAGATTTATTTTTTCTACTTTGAAGACGTTAAGAACAGTACATTTCAAGCTTGTGTGAAAGCTTCGTCGGACGAACGCATGTCGCCATCGGGTCCAGGTCTAGATTTGGAAATAAAGGGCAAGAGACGAACGGAAAGGAAAACCCACTTATCAGATTATTCAAGCAGCAATATACTCTACATATATTACCGATAAAGTTATATTGAGGTGGTCGATCCACAGGCATCCTAGTATACCAGACGGACCACAGTCATTTGTCAGCGCATTAGAGAATAAATGTGTGCACACATTTACCGCGTTTGCGCAGAACTGAGGAAATCCAGAATGCGAGCGGTAGAAATCTCCATCCTTCAATAGAATAGCCAGTAAAGGAATGTTCATGTGGCCCATAGACGTCTAGCTTCGAGTTCGATAGGAAAATAATATTTTGTACAATTTCATTCGGTAACAAATTAATTCTCTCACAAGCTCTCTTTCGTGTATTGATGTTACAAACTGTGGCTCTAAATTTGAAGAAAAAACAATGGCAGTTAGGTCGGTAACGCAATTTGGTCTTATATTACGGAAACTATCCCTTCAGTTACGCACGCCAACGCCAAATGGATGGATGTAAACTTCGGACATAGTCACCCCCAGCCCGAAATTAATGTTCTCATGTAAGCCGATCCCAAAAGCCATTACACCACGTACATACTTCCAAAACTGCATTATTTCGTTATCATAACACGTGAACGCCACACTCTCAGGCAGTTGTTAACACTCCGTGACAAATGTCTACCTGTCCATATCGGAGTGGAATTGTCGGGCGCAGAGTATGGTGAAGTTGGCGCGGCGCGTGTTTGCGCAGGCCTAGAACGAGAGCGGGCGGGTGGGCGCCTGACAGATGCCAGGGCCAGCTCGGGCCAGCACGAGCGCGCTCTTGCAGGTGGCGCCCAAGGCACCACCGGCGCTCGCCACCCGCCATCGCTCCGGCCAACGGAATACACGCACCCATCGGCGCGACTCCTGCTCGCCGCTCCTATGACTAATGACACTGGCATTGGGAGTCAGCAACGTTTAATGACCCGGCAGCTGACACGTGCGACGTGACAACTAATACGATTACCACCGCTCGTCCCTGCCCTAATGGCCTCGCCCAGTAACCCGTGCGGCTTCACTATTCCCCGGCAGAATCTGGCGGCAGATGGAAATCTACGGGGTAATTGCCGCCTAATTCCACCACATTCGCACACGGCCTGATCGACACGTCAGTCAAACGCGTCGCGCCCGCCCGGAAGAGATTAAAGGTGAGGGCGGCGCCGCCAGCGCTCACTCGGCAGCGGGGGAACCAAGTCACGAGGAGCCCATCTGGTTTGCGGTGAAGTTGTGAGACCGGATAATTTATGCGAGTATTCAAATGCAGGAATAGATTCTACAAGCAATTCAAAAGATGTTTCAAATTTGCACTGTTTTCAGAGCCCTCTACCGACATTTCATACAATTGCACAATTAGAGTACAAACATTTCACTGGCACACGCTTCAGAAGGCGCGTTGTAACAAGTATATTAACAATATATTATTTACACTGTTTAATACTTGTCAAAAGTTTCATAAAAATTGAAGCAAGGAAGGTCTGGTATTTATTATACAATGAATAGGCATTTGCTTTTAATAAACACACATAACGGCATGTAAACAAAGAAAGAAAATCAAAATAAAAGGAATTAATGTAAAATTTTATAATTAAAATTTTTGATTTATCATCTACTTAGAAGAAACTTTTTTTTTGTGGTATTGTGCTCTTTGTGAAATTTTGTTTCGCAAAATCCGTCGATCTGAAAAATTATTTCTCATGATATTCATAATGAAGCACCACATTTCGGTGCGATGATAACGAATGTAAGTCCGGACGTCAATCAGAAAGAATCCAACAATTATGACTAGTGTCGCGTTTCTTTCTCATATAGGTTTTAGCACTTCTCGGGTATGGAGCCTCGGCTGGCAGAGAAAAGAAAACGCGGCAGCGCCTCCACATTGTGCAGGTTTAGGTTAGCACTTGGATATATGTGTCAGGAGAAATGGGAAATTAATGACGATAAAAAAGGCAGCGGAAGCCAAAATATACACACAAGTCAAAATCTTCTAACACGACAAAAAAATACTGATAAATGATTTGTATTGATAGAAAGTTTACCAAACTGGGTTATAGTCCTAAAATTGTATATTCAAACACTGGACCATATTAATATGGAAATTCGTGTCTAACACACTGTTCTTGCAGAAAATCGTATCTTTATTCTTTGTACCGCTTATGCCAAAGCCACTCCGTTGCTGAACCGCGAAGGACTAAAATCTCGAAAAAATAAATCACTGGGTTATACGTGATTCCTGGTGAATACGTTTCCCTGAGTTTCTGAAAGGCGCTATCAACAGCGTTATCTATTTATGGTTTACGAAAGAGTCTTATTGCTGTGGTTCAAATGCTCGGGCTCTGTGCACGCAAGTATAAGCACACCAGCGGGTAGGTACTTCCGTCCTCAGTCCGCTGCAACTTTTATACTTCAATGACAGCCTTCCGTGCGTGGCGTCGCTTCGCGGCCAGGCCCCCAGCGCTCGCGTATCGATCACGACAGGTGACGCCCCCCCCCCCGCGCTAATCCGCCAAGTGGCATCAAAATTTCCCTTTGAACCCCTCGCGGCGGCGGGCGACAATGGCTTCATCAACGGCCGCTCCCCGCCCCCCTCGCGCCCCGAGGGGCATTTGTTATTCACGCCGTTTTCACAGTCCCCAAACTTCGCGAGTTGGGCTTATCAATGCCTTTCAGCCCACGCGGGGCGGGGGCGGGGGCGGGGCGCGATAACAGGCACGGGGGAGCCTCTGCCAACGTTGGGCGCAGGGCGACAGGCCACAGCACTGCCCCATTCTTACAGTACTGTGCGGAAAATTATTTACGACACTGGTACATTCCCCATTCCTTGCCCCCGCAAATTTACCAACCAGAACGCAACAGCTTCGCGAAAGAGAGAGTTCCCGTTGAACAGAGATGACAAAAACGCGTGTGCTACGACAGGGAATAGAAAGAGCTGAAAGAAATGACCTAAAGTCGCCTGAAATTACCCTGTCCTGCAAGACGAATACTAAAAAATAATTACATTTGTAAAAAACCACTGGCCGTTCAACATCACCACCACTATCACTTTCTCGACACTACGTATCCCGTCTTGGCCGCTCTTGCAACTAGCGGTGCACTTGGCGACGGGCAGGCAGATACCCGTCACACCGGCGAGCAGCGCACATCAAGGAAAGACCGTCCGAGGGCGGGGCGGGGCGGCGCAACGAAAATTGTGGAGAGCTGCGCGGCCGCGGAAGATCAAGCGGCGACGTCTGCGCGGCGCGGGCGCGGGCGGGGCGGGGCGGCTCGTGCGATGAAAGGGCGAACAGCGCCACACGAGGGACGGCCGCTTTGTGTGGAGCAGGCAGGGAAGGGGCGGAGGATGGAACGAGCGCAACGGCAGCAAGGGGGCCAAGCCTTGAGTGGCACACGTGTTCGTGTGTGTGTGCGCGCGCGCGCTAAGAGCAGCTCCGTACATGTATGCGCGCTCGGACAGACAGCATGTTCAAGTGCCAGCTACCACTATAGGGTTATCGCGGCTGCCTATGGTGATCTGCTCAAAATTGATAACGGTTTGGAGAGAAACGTAGATTCAATTGGGGTGGCATCCAAAATCAAACACGTTGCACACTCTGTAGTATTAATACAAATATAAGAGACTCGCCACTCTAAGAAAAATCTTTTCAATTTGCAGTAAGTGTAACTCATTTTCGCTTTGAAGCTTTGAAACTAAAATAGGATGAGGAACTTACGTCGCAAGTGATCAAGCAACCAGATGAATGCTGTCGCGAGGACCTATACGCTCATATGTACAATAAAACAGCTCTGAAATCATGCCTAGGTCAGCGAGGGGACTGCACGTCCGCATGACGTACATACATTCATTCACTGAATCCTTTCGATCACTTTGCAACCAGGCATTTGAATGAATCAATGAATGAAGGTGGTTTTTAAAATGCTCAATTTCTTTCCGCTGAAATATCCCACGTTTAGCTGACGGGGCACACAGCGTAATCAATTCCAAGCAATTCGTGACAATCTGCACAGCGCGTGCCCACGTATTCCCACACAAATGCACCTCTCAATGCAGCAGCCGGAGACGTAGCCCAGCGCACCGAGGCCCGCGGCGTCCAAGCAAGCGCCGCCGATGCACACGCGGGTTATGAAGGCCCTGCACGGCGACTCTACGCGACGCACGCCGCCGCCTCACCGCGCGATTAGCGGCAAACAAATGTAATTAGGATTAGGGGCGCGGCCCGGCGCGGCGGCTACAGCAGCAGCAGCAATTTTACCAATTATAATTAATCGCTTTAGCCCGCGCCGCTAACGCGCAAATGAATTGCCCACCGCGCACACAGTCATCAGCCGCTGTTTACCCTGCATGTGTAATCTCCATTCACGGCCCCGGCCGGGACAATAGGCGCCGTCGCTGCGGCCACAGAGCGCGCTGCCACTTGAGCGGCGCCGCCCCGCAATCACCTTACGAGGCGAGGCGAAACTGATTCCACAACATAATCCAACTTACCACTACGTTCAAGCTACTTTTTCATTACTTTTATTACAATAGAGAAGCTTTGTAAAGAATATGGCATTACACAAGTCCACAACTCTCAATTTTAATGTCCATCTTACAAGAAACTCTGTCGGAGGAACTCACTACCACAAATTAATTTAACTAAACATTTATAAGAAATTCCTAAATGGAATACGTGGACTCTAAACATAACTGTGTTTCAAACATTTCCGAAGGTGGATTTTATAAGAAATTCAGTATTATGGACTCCTATTATCGTGCATCTCCAAATAATCGATTCCGTCTCGAGAAGAAAATATTTGTATCGAAGGGCGTGAAGAGGCACTTACCTTCTTGGCGTCGTTGTTGTTCTCGGCGTGGTTGGGCTGCGGACTCATCACGGAGCCATTGCTCACACCGCCGCTCTGCGACAGCAGGTCGTCTGAGCCTCGCTGCAACACAAACACCTCCGTCAGCTCCCCTCGCCTCGGAAGCCCACTCCCCCACCGCCATTTTGCTATTTCTCTCCAGCAACAAGTCACTGGACTCCTTGCTTCAACATATTTCCTTTCAAAACTGTAACAACTACCAATAACAATAATAACCATAATAATAACAATAACAATATACCATAGGGCAGGGTGTCATTCAAAAGGTGTGTTTTTCCGATCCGCTATTTTTATAATTGAAAAGCTCTACAGGTATCTTTATGGAAGTAAAATTTGTGTTCGTGTGTGTGTGTGTGTGTGTGTGTATGTGTGTGTTATTTCCACAAAATATCGCAGTCGAAAAATGCAACTGTAACAATGTATTGCTACTACCCAAAATAGATAAATAAAATCAAATGAATTATTAGAAATGTTGTAACCAATGCGTTAACGATGGTTTAAAAAAACGACCCAGGAGGCTTATCGGGATTTTACTGATAAAAACTTAAAATTTTAAGATTTCGAAGTCATGACAACTATCGCATTTTAATACCATGAAGCGCGGCTAATGAAATAATATATGCGTTACATAGAGCAACTTGCAAATCAAGCGTACATTTTACTGTTGATTTATTTTATACTTGGGTGTTTGTCAGGCGCGCGGGTGGGTGTTGTGAGGAAATTAGAGTTGTCAATACTAGCAAATGAAGTTTGTATTTTGTTGTATTAGTACTCTTTTGTAAGCTTTTCCTATGGTTAAAAGTGTTTTCGGAGAATAATTTGATCCCCAAGAAACGCTGCTCGGGGAGACAGACAGACGCATCAATTCCAGCGAACACGTCACCTGTGATTTCCAGAGCCCCTCTAGGATGGCCCACTGACGACTTTTAGCCAGCGACAGGAGTGAGTGGAAGGGGAAGGGGGTCCTCTCATAAGCAAGAGGTAGGGGGCAGAGACCTGCGCCATCTGACGCTCCTTTCCATCGCTAATTAGCTGGCGTGTTTCACCAAGCAGCGCGGAAGGAAGTTGCAACCCCTCTCCCTCTCTCCATACGCGCCTATCTAATTGGCGGCAAATTAGTTTCTGCTGCGGTGGCCACAAAACGACGTAGCATCGAAGGCGCCCCTACGTCCCCCGCAACGGGTTCGCGACGAGCGGGGCACCGCCCAAAAAGCCCTTTGGAACGACGGTGCAAATGCTTGGGTAACGGGGCGGTAAGAACGCGTGGTCAACTTGCGCTCTGCCTGGCGCTGAAACGCCTGGCCGTGGAAGGCTCCGGCTCCACTTTCCGCATTTCTCGATAACCATGGTGCTCCGCTATTGAGAGAAAGCCTGCCAGCGCGCAGTCCGGCGCTGCCTCTCAGTTGCCAACACTTCTCAAGAATTAATAGCCGCGCGCCGCGTAATTCGGCGAAGTGGGGCTCCCGGGGGAGCGCTCCTCCGGCGCTGCTCCGCCGCGCGCGCCATTTCCAATTTATTGGAAGCAGCGCCGCGCCCCGCCGCGCCCCGCCCCGCCCCGCCATGCCTCTACGACCGCAGCCTCAGGGGGCGGGGCGGGGCGCAGGCAGCCTACGGTCCAGCGGCGCCGACCCCCTCTGCCTGTACGGATACATTCATAACTCCAATCCGTCCTTCCCTTTTTCTTATCTCACGGGGAGAAACTTGCGCCCGCGGGCGCTCCAGGAGCAACGCAACATTTGTGAGGAAGCGTGGCAGAGGGAATTCGGCCGCGGCCGCGCGGGAGAGCGATAACGAGGTGCCGCATCCATCATCCGGGGCGGGGAGTCGCCGCCGCCGCTCGCTAAATCTCACTTAGGTGACGCCCGCACCTCCGCGGCGCCGGGCGCGAGACGAGGCGGCGGCGGGGCGTGAATGCAGAGTCGTTCCGGCGCCGGCTACCCCCGGGCGTTCGCGGGGCTCAATTAACAGTCTAGTTTACGATACTGCAGGCGCCGGCGCCGGCGCCGCCCACACCTCGTTCCCGGCGCGATCGCGAGTGCCAGAGGATGTAAAAATATTTACTGGGCGAAATGGAAAACGCACAGATCCCCCGTAATTTAAAATGACGACGTGGATGTTAAGAAGCGGGCAGACAGAGGGGAGATGAGTGTGGAGGGAAGGTGAAGAGTAACTAACTGTATACGCGACGCTGTGCGACAGAACGTTTTACAGCCCCAGATCCCCCCACCCCCACCCGCCCCGTCATTAGACTCGCCAAAGATGCTTCGCTCGTCTACTTGCTCTATAGTTCCGCGCTCCCGCCCCGCCGCCGTTTTCATGCATTTCCATTAATGTGGACGCGACCGCGCGTTGCGGTTTAAAGAAGCCTCCGCCACAGCGCGGGATGAGCGCCGCACTGCACCACGCACCTGCTCCGGCTCTACGTAATTCTCTCGTAACGAAAACTTTCTATGAAAAACAAAACGACGGAACTATGGACAAAAACAGTTGCGATGCGTTCGTCATAATCTGCAAAACAAAAACAAAAAATCCGTAGTAACATTTCACGAGTACAAGGACGGCTGCAATTCTAATAAAAATTAATATTAAACTACTCACTTTCTTGAACTCAACAGTAACACTTTACATACTAGATCTACATTACGAAGAAAACAAATGAGTACTGAAGCTGCACCTCTTAATGGGGATTCTTTAAGGCTACTTACGCCAATGTCGCATCCCCGGCAAGCGTACTTTAAAGATGAACTTAATGCACGGACGTCACTACGTATAGCCATTACTTTCCAGTTCTGCTGTTGAAACAAACCACTCTCCAACTACACAAACCAAGGGCGGGAACTTCAATTCGAACCCTAATCCGAACTCTAACTCGGCCACAGAAACCACACTGGGAAACGAATTCGGCGAGCAGAATTTTGGAACACGTCATAGTTCCACAACAGCGATAGGCGACAGATCGCCGGCTTCTACAAATTGCCGCCCAACACATGCCACGCTCTGCAAACTTTCACAGTACGGGACCTCTGCGGTTGTGCTGCCATTACTTCGCAAGCAGAGCGCACCGCCGGCTAGCGCGACGTGGCTTTTCCCCTGGAGATCTCAAGGGAAAAGCGGACACTGTTACCAACAACCTCTCAGAATGCATGAAACAAATATCTAGAAATAAAATCGTACTTATTTATTTTAACAAATTGCCCTCATTCAGTAGCGGTGATCTCAATGTTACGACCGAATTGCGTAATGTAACTGCCGCCCCTCGTTTACTGCCTGCCGCTTCCAATGTTGCGCGTGCGGCGGCAGTATGTTCGCTGACACGAATTGACTTCCTTCACATCGAAGTCTTCAAACTTCCGCTTGCAGCATCATCCAAATTCGCGACCATCAACAACAGCACCAAACACGCCTCCTGCCCATTCTTGTCCGGAGCAGAGTAAGGCAAGACAAGACGCACCAAATACGAAGCATTTCGAGCCGCAACAAAACGTCAGCGATAACGGAAGTCCGGCGAGTGCGCCGCAACCTGCAGCGCAAGTTGAAACGCGCCTCCGCTCCGCATCGCACGACGGCGTGTTTGTCTTTCAGTAGTTGCCAACTGTTGCATTATTTACTCCCCGCCCGAAGAGGAAGAGGAAAAACAACCAACAACGCGGCGCGTATAAAAATTTGTCTGGGCTACGCCCCCATCCATCACTTCCGCAGATTTCCCAGGCCCCGCGCGCTTCCTGGCGGAGAGGAGCCCGGAGCCGGGTGAGGGGGCAGAAGTCCCGCATTCAAAATGACCGAACGTCATACACAGATAAAGCAGCGGCAGCAGCCGGCAAGTGGCGGCGGCGGGGTCGGGCCAAGCAGGCGCGCAAGGTAGGGCGACGCCCTGGCTTTCAGTGGCGGGGCATTTGCAAGTCAGATCCCGCGCCGCCATCGCGCCCGCCCCACGACACTTCCCGGACACGCCGTGGGTAACGTATTCAAGGTGTTAAAAGCACGAGCGTGCCTCCCAGTACTCTGACATTCATGAGCGGGCCACGCGACGCCTAAGACAGAAAGAATAGCAGTTCCAGAACGCGCCGCCACGCACTCCGCGGCGCCGGCGTCGCCGCCCGGGGAAGACGCGCCGCGCGCGCGCGTGTTTTTGTACCTTTTCTTTTGAATGATGGATACGGCATGCATAAACTTCAAAAGCTTTCCCGGCGCCGAGTAGCTGCCTTGTAAGGAATGAGTTCACTTGGTTTGGCGAGAGTGCGTTTGGCCCGCGCCGCAGCAGACGACGCAACGGCGCGCGCGCCTCTCGCCCGCAGCTTCCTCCGCAGATTCCACGCCGCTCGAAAAGACGGCAGCCGTGGACGGTGCGGATCACATCGTGCAAATTGCGTAACGACCTTCGGGGTTTCTTCGTTCCTCAGATCGGAAGAGGACTAAATGCGGCAGAAGAAACAATGAGCTATCAATTCTTACATCTCTTGCTTACTGTACTGCCTCAGTGCAATTCCACATCTTATTCCTCGCTACAGGCAACTGCTGCCACATGCGCGATTCGCACAGCTGTTACGATACTGCCACACACGGCATATCATAGGCGGATCCATATAGGTTTTGGCGGTTGCTTCCAGAAAAGAATGCGCCAGTCAATACGTCTCAGGTTAATCCGAAAAATGTTTATTAGAAATCGGCAAATAAGAGCAATTAACATGTTCGTTAACACAGGTGACTATGTCTATACTTATTTTACTCTTACATGTGACAGTAACATATTGGAGCAGATGGATTGCACCTCCCCCCCCCCCAAAAAAAAGAAACTAGAAGATATAGAAGTTATTTGATTGACTGCGAATTCGCACATTTTCTTCTCCGGTGCTCTCGCATCTCAGCGCATCTCTCGCATCCCGCTCCGAACTGAACGCCGACCAGCTAAGCTGCGGTTCCGCAGACACTTAACCCCGCCATCTCCGAAAGCCAGTGCTTCAGACCAAGAAGGAGTTAATGTGGCAATTGTGGTTGCAAATGACGGAATAGCTTCTGGGAATGAAGGGATCAGAATCTATATGGAAGGCAAGATTCAGAGCAGA